CCCAGGTGGATGACTTTAACAATGAGGAGCTCCTCAGTTGCTCACCGCAAATTCCACCATGGAGTTTACAAAGACTTATGGCTAGAAAAGCCATACCAGGTAATTTACTACACTGCAGAGGGTATGGCCACACCCATCAAGATACAGAAGACCACAGCCCTATCCTTGAAAACTGAGAAGACCCTGCTTCCCATGCTCCTTCCAACAGTTCTGATGATCTCCAAGATGATCCAGAGATGGTCCTTTTCTCTTCTTGGAGGACAACAGACATAGCCCCTTTGGCCTATTTCCTGCCTGTAGAATTCCAAGAGGTAGACGGTATTCTTTCCTTCCATTCTATCTTTTTTCCCTTTAGTCTAAGCTGATAGGTTTTCTGCTGTGGCAGTTGATAAGATCTATCAGTGACAGGATTAATCTCTTTAACAAAAGACTGTGCAGCCATGTCTTTAGTGAACATTCTAGGGGACGTGTCCTTAATTTGTAAAACAGAATTTTTCAAATCTTTCATTTGTTTCCATTTTGCACAGTTCATTTTTAAGTCCATCTCTTTCCTCTCACATTTTATTATAAGCAATGCAAAACCATACAGCCCCTTTGAAATCTTGCTTAGAGATCTTCTCAGCCAGATACCCAAGTTTATCACTTACAATTTCTACCTTCCACCAAACATTTGAAAATAATTCAAACAAGTTTTTACCACTGCATGAAAAGCACTACCCTTCTTCCATTACCCAATTACATGTTCATTATTTTCTTTTAAAGCCTCACCAGAAGCATATTTAAAGTATACATTTCTAGGAATATTCTATTCCTGGTGCCATATGTATTTTCTAAGACAATAAAGACTTTCATCTATAGTTCTCTTCATTTCCTCTGAGACCCACCAGAATTGCCTTTGAGAACTGTAATTCTACCAACAGTTTCCCCAAGGCAATCTAGGCTTTTACTATCAAACATCTTAAAACTCTTCCAGCCTCCACATTTTAGGTAGTTGTTAGAGCAGTAAACCACTCCTGGTACCAAATTTTATCTAGTATTTCTATAACAGAAATATCATAAATGGGATGACTTTAACAAATTAATTTATTTTCTCACAATTTAGCTGGCTAGAAGTCTGAATTCAGAGTATCAGATCTAGGCAAAGCCTTTCTCTATCAGCTCTGAGGAAAATTCCTGTCTCTGCACCTTCTGTTGTCTGGGTTCCTTGGAGATCTCCATGTGTATCAGTATCAATCTTCTCCCATCTCTGCTTTGCTTATTTGTTTAATCTCTTTTGTATCTCAAAAGAGATCGACTTAAGATTTACCCTACACTAATTCTGCCTCATTAGTATAACAAAAACAACCCATTCCCAAATGGGATTATAACCACAGGCATAGAGGTTAGGATTTACAATACATATTTTGAGGTAACATAATTCAATCCATACAGATTATATCATTGTTTTAAATAAATTAAGAAATAAATATTTTTAAAATTTTGTTTTAATTTCTAATGTAAGAAAGTATTTTACACCCCACATAATTTTCCTTGGTGACCTTAATAATTTTTAAGATAATAAATGTATTGGTAACTCATTGGCATAAAGTCAATTCTGACTAATATTAACCTGTAGGACAGAACAGAACTGCCCCATAAGTTTTCCAAACCCATAATCTTTATAGAAGCAGACTGCCATATCTTTCTCTTGTGGAGTGACTGGTGGGCTCAAACTCCTGATCTTTCGTTAGCAGCTGAGTGCTTAACCACTGTACCACCAGGAATTCAAAAAATTGAAAACCACTAATATATACAAATAAATAGAGATCAAAGATGGTGTCTAAATTTCCAGCTTGAGGTTCATATTATATCAATATTAAAGAATGAGGACCAAGTTTAAGAAGTTGATAAAGTTAGTGTTGTCATGTTTCTTAGATCAGGTTCTAAGATTAGCCTAAGAGAAATTCCTGTTCAACAGATTTATTGATAGAGTACTTTCAGGTAAAAAGTATTAAGACAAACATGATAGGGGTGAAAGAAACGAGGAAGATGTGAACCCATGGAAAAGCACTAATTGCACCACAGAGATGAATTCAGCCTCTTATACCCCTGTATTATTCAATCACTGGCCATAGTCTGCCCCAATGAGTGGGGTTTGGGAGGGTGCACATGGAGCCAATGGAAATTCTTCACTAAAAGGGACACTGGCCAGTGCAGGGTGTCTGGGCCAGGGCACCAACAGAATCCACTATAGCAGCATAGTAAAGATGAAGTGCTTGACAGGCATGAGGCAGCATGAAGCAAAAAGCTAGAAACTCAAGCTTGGAAAATTTGTGGTTTAATATGTGTTTAGGAATTATCTGCATAGACCTAAATATTAAAGTTAAGCTGATCATCCTACTTAGGCAAAAATATTTATGCAACTGAGAAAGACCCATCTATAATCTCATTTTTCAAAAAAACAGTTATATTGTTCATTGACAGAAAAAGTAAGTAGATAAATATATGATTTTGTAGGGTAATCAAGTAGAAACATAAAACAAAAAACCAAAATTGTTTCCACTGAGTCAACTGTGACTCATGGTGACCCTTGAGTTACAGAGTAGTAATGCTCTGTGGGATTTTCTTGGCTATAATCTTTATGGAAGCAGTTCACCAGACCTTTCTTTGAAGGAACCATTAAGTAGATTCTAACTGCCTATCTTTAGGTTAGCTGCCAAATGTATCCTGCTTGTACCACTCAGGTTCCTTAACTAGAAACATAAAGAGAAAAGAAAAATTCTTAGTGGGGAAATTCTGATGTGATGGAAAAGCAACTGGGTCTTTCGCTTCATGAAACAGAGAAAAGGCAAAAGGAAGGAATAAAAGTCATAATCATTAAGATGGAAAGTCAAACAAAAGAAGATAGAAAATGTTAGGAAAATATTACATGCAGTAGGATAGAAATTTTGTTGTTGTTGTTATGTGCCATGAGTCGGACCCGACTCATAGCAACCCCTCCTTGGGTTTCCGAGGCAGTATCATACAGAAGTAGATTGCCCCATCTTCCTTCTGAGGAGTGGCTGGTGGGTTTGAACCACCAGCCTTCTGGTTAGCAGTCAAGTACCTTAGGCACTATGCTACCAGAGAGTTCATATTACAGAGATGAGAACCAGATTTCCAGAAAAGAAGCACTTAGATTTCTTTCTGTTCTGTTTACCCAGTGTTGCTCTGACAAAAGGCACGTGAGTTAGCTTGTTATTAATGATATTAAAATATACCACAAATGGGATGGCCTTAACAAACAGGAGTTTATTCTTATAATTTGGAGGCTTTAAGTCCAAGTTCAAAGTGCCAGGATCCAGGAGCTGTGTGAAAGCCCCTCAACCTTGGGGTCCAGCCCTGCCTCCTGCTCCCAGTCCACTGTAGCTAGAGATACATGCTAAGCAACAATAACACATGTATGAAAAGGCATGTGAGTTAGCTTTTTATTAATGATATTAAAATTACCAAAGTTTATCCTTTATTTACTTTTTAAAACATAATTCTGAGAAGATTATCTGTAGAATAAAGCCATTCAGTCACCTACACAGTGACTAATATGTAAGAAGGAAACAGGCAGCATTAAAGCCAGTGTGCTAGGAACTGAATGTTGGCCCTTTTACCATCAAGGACATTGGTAAAAAAATGACTTTGAACTGTCCACCAGTAGCAAAAAAGTTGGTCCGTGATGGAACATATGACATACCTTACAAGCTCCTGGATTATCTCCAACAGAAACAAGTATTTTTCCCATGCAGAGCCTTCTGTATCAATATCTTCATACTTATTATTATTTTTTATTTTATTGTGAAAACACACACACCAGGACATTCACCAATGTAACAACTTCCCTATTTACAGCTCAGGGACATTGATGACTGCTAAAGAGGCAAGGAGGCCACATCTTCTGACCTCCTATAAC